TTATTTTATCTAAATTGGTTAGATAATATTGCATTAATTCTTTTGTATGTAACATATACACACATAACGAGAGTTTTTAAATTCTGTGTAAAAATAGTGTTTTAAACTGCGGGAAAATTAGAGTTGTCAAATTGCTCATTAAATAAATAAACAATTAGTATCAAAATTGATCCAGCTAAAAATTTAAGAAAAATAATTTATCTACACTTAATTCTTTCTGCTGAAACGAATTTCGATACTAAATGAGAATTTAATGGGCAATTGTTTGACAATAGAAAATTAGCGGAAATCCATATTAGACTGCACAAGCAATTGTATGTACCTATACACAACGAGATAATTTCGAAATTTTGTAAAAATCCTTAAAAGTTGTAAGCATGTGAAGCGATGAATTTTGATGTTATATCAGCAAAATACCAACTACAGTAAATTGCACATTTATACGAAATGACACCAGGCTGAATTATTAGTATCGTGCATAAATGTTTCTCCCTGTTATACTCGTCGACTCCTAATATCAATGAAAAAGGAAAAATCTGCCCTCCAATATGTATTAAAACCATAAATAGTTAACATTCTCTCGTGAAAAGTTAAAATCAAAATTATTTATAATTATCTAATAAAAACGGACGATGTAAATTAAAAAGTACGTAACGAAAAATAAAAAATGATTTGGCTAGTTGCCTAAAATTGGCATACCTAAATACAAACATTCCACTGAAATGAGGAAACGTGAATGAAATGGATATTTACTACAAATGTTTTGTTTCTTGGAATATAATACCTAAGTAGATACTCCTCTTATTATCACATAATAAAAAAGGCATATAATTCCATTTGAGAGAATATTTACGTAAATCAATAATGTTACAGGTGTAACGTTTTACATTTTAAAAATATGAGGTCCATTAATACGTAGGTACTGTATTATATTTTTTCTACAACCTTCACAAAAGCAATAGTAAAACAAAAACATGTCGTCCATCGCTATATTTTTAGATATTGGAGTCAATCTATAAAATCTCAAATTTTCAAATACATCTCGGCACTTTACAAGACAACGATGTTTTGTAAAACGGCTAACTAAATTTTTAATCGCAATGTAATACCAAATAAACGAACCCACAGACGATACTCTAAGCAGTATGCTCTCATTCCATCCAATTCTATTTACAGAACACTATTAAACTTTCTAACTGATTAGTACGGAGAAAAATCTTGTAAAAATTACCATGCTACTTGTAGCGCAGTACATTTACACTATGTCTGATCAATACTCTGGAAAAATTAAGGGAAAAGAAGGTACAAGAAAAAGAAGCAGAATGAGCCATTTCGCACCACTCAGTGACACATAAACACGAAGGAGTGACCATACCGAAAGCCCCAACTGCTCCGGCAATGATGACAAATTCGCGTGCATTCCCATTTCACCGTCCATATGTGACCACCATATCCGTATACTCTGGTATTTGTTTGATATTTCCGCATTCAACTTATTTTTGTAGTTTGTGGTAATATTCTGTCAATCGGACGCTAACGAGTGCAGATTATTACAATCGACTTGTTTACGTATCAGCTGTTTGCAAAGGTCACGAATAGGTATGTGTGTTTCGTTGAAAACCAATAAGATAACACTATAGCGTACTCAATCATTAACGACTCGTTAACTGGGGTACTTTTTGTGCACACTTTTTACATCCCCTACGTTGTGATACTATGACGAGATGCACTCTACAGTACCTCCGGGTGTTACCCTACAAATATTCTGAAATACTTATCAGACATCGTGTATAAAAATCTTATCTTGTAAAAATTATTGGGCTAATATTGAATTTTGTCAATGCATGTTTCTTGTACCCATTTCATAGTGTCGAGCATGGTATTTTTTCTAAGATTTTTTTCACAAAATACTGGTCAAGCTCCTTTTATAAAAGTCTCATCGTACTAGCGTTCTTCCTTTACTTCAAAAATGTGAAAATTCATCAATAATTTTTGGCCCCTAGAAATAGATTTTTTTACGAAAATAGCTGAGATTTACTTGTTGGAAATGATTAAGGAGCAAACTCATTTTTTGATTGCGTTTTTAAGACATAAACAAGAAAACGCAATGGTTTAATGTTTACTCGTATCCAGACTTCAAATTAAAATGCCAGCGATAGCACCTTACTAACTAGAACGAGTAATGAGTTGCAGCGACCTGAGTGCACGCTCTAAAATTGACCGTTTGGGGCGTCAAGAATTCAAGCATTTCGATAATTTATTTGACATGGTTTAAGCAATTTCCTAAAGCTTATACTACGCAGAAATGTTCTACTCGTCTACCTTAGACAGATATGAGCTTACTCTTTCGGCTACTGGACTAGACTAATGGGCTAGACAAAGAATAGTAGGTACACGCCTTGCAAGGAAACTTTGGAGAAAATTTTTGCCTAAACTATTCATTGTACGTAAAAAATTGAAGAAATAATTTTTTTGGAGAATTCCATTATCTTTCATTTTTATAATGAGCTCAATTGACCTCTGAGCCATAGAAAGCGCAATATTCGCAAAAAAACCTTCTTTATGAACTTTAACCATGAATAACTTTTTAAGCAACAGTGATTTTGAGTTCCATTTTTAATATTTTTTTCTAAACACTAAANAGGTTATGTACCTCTTAGTTTTAGTTATGGTTAGTTTAGGTTGCCCTTTTTCTATCTGTGTAATCAAATCGAAAACGAGTTTTGCCCTTCGATGGGGTAAATGAGTAACTATCAGAAAAAGACTGATGATAAAAAAAATTCTTGTTTCAATGTTACTCAAGTACCTAATAACTTATTAATTCTAAAATAAGGCGATTTTGTATTCGGAGAGGGCATTTAAAAGGCAGTTTTATATTCAGTAAGTGCATCTAAAGGACAATTTTTTAACGTCTTAACTAAAAAATCAATCTAAATGGACCTTGTTGGAGCATACGTAATCATAAGATGTAGCATTGTACTACAGATGGCGTTTACCGCGCCGATGAGTTCCAAAAAGATCGAAATCGCGATCCGCGTCTGGCAGTTTCGACAAATCATTAACCAGCAGAAACGATCAGATTAAGTCCGTTTGTGATTGCCCTGGGTTTTTTAACTAAATTATTTGATTAATTCTGTCCTAATAATTATTTTATCTAAATTGGTTAGATAATATTGCATTAATTCTTTTGTATGTAACATATACACACATAACGAGAGTTTTTAAATTCTGTGTAAAAATAGTGTTTTAAACTGCGGGAAAATTAGAGTTGTCAAATTGCTCATTAAATAAATAAAGAAAAAAAATATGCAAAGTATCAATAGCGAAACTGCACCTATTCGGGTGCTGGGTCTGAAATCCAATATCAGCATCTGTGAGTGTGGTTAATTACATCAGTATAGGTTGTAACCACACCTCTCACATGCGGGTGTGATTTCGTGAATGCAGTCAATGCTGCAGACGCAAAGAAAAGGGGGAAAGAAAAAGAAGACGCAGGTGTCAAATCAGAGAAGAGAGACTAGTATAGAAGTCCAATGCTGGGTTAATAATCCGGACTTCGTTTCGGATAACATGTCGGTAAATCTCGAAGCTTCTGTCATCCGACCGGTAGTTGTCGCTTCGGAAAATCAACCTTTTTTTTTTTTCTTTACAAACTTGGCTTACAACAGCAAAGTAAAAAGACTTATGCGTTCTATGATCCCACCACTTCTACTATTTACCCCAGCCATTACTGCGTTCACTCTTTGCTCCGACTCAATACAGCGTTGAGGCGCTCATTTTCATAGCAACGCCATCTCCTGGTTCTATTTAGAATTTCTTACTCACGTTTTAGTCCTCCATTTGAATTGGACTTCTATACTAGTCTCTCTTTTCTGTGTCAAATGTTCAATCTACTAATCTTAGCCTTCAACAACACGACATCATTGGCGACCACTGTATATCTTACTATACGTCTACTATCAATTGTAATGTTTGACAATCCGGCTGAGCGTTTAGTTAGCCGCTAACAAAAACAGCACTGTCTTCTTGGTTACTTAGCCAAATTCTAAAGTGTATAATTTTACAGACTGACTTTGACGTAAATAATATAGCACGAAGGACATATTTTAATGTTTATTTCATTTTAAAATTTGATTATCTACGTTTGTTTATGCTGCTTTTGCATTAATGTAAAATAAATTCACCTAATTAATAGCATACACCATTAACCACTAAAGCATTGTACTTAATAAATTAAATAACGCATGTTTCGAAAAAATATTACGCATTTTTTTACTACATTGTGGTGTTTTGGTTTTCCCTTGAAAAAGCCACAGTGTGGTGAAACAATGTTGGAATTGTTTACAACACCATTGATATTAAGTAATTTTTTTTTTAATGTTAGTTAAGAAATATTTAAAAATTATTCACAATAATGAATGATAAAACCCGCCGCATGCATTTTTGTGCACACCTATAAAAATAACCAAGCAGAAAAGAAACTTGAATCCCAAAAAGCAAACTGAGATAGTACTTCAGCTTAATTTCGCTTTAGAACTTTGCGTATTGTAATACTTTTAATATTTACTGCTTAGGCAATTTTTATATCTTATTAACAATTATATATTACCAATACAGCTCTGGGAAAAATATTAAACCAAAAATGTAGTACATATAAATACTAAAACGGTTTGTTTCGAGCGTGTGGAATGTTATATTTTACTTTAGCAACTAAAAGAAGTAAAAAAAAAATAAAAGGCACTGTGTAATATAAAACCCAATTTAAAAGATATTATCTTTATCAACGCCGTCTAAATGTTATAATTAATTGTAATTGTGATAGTGCTTCCCTCAAATTTTTGAACTACAGCAACAAAATGATAGTTCCTGATATTCTATTATTAACTATTATTCAAAAATATTTTAGAACCAAATTATGAAATGAATTTTTCTCAGAACTGCTCTTACAAAGCAAAAAAAACAGCCGCATGCAACAAAAATAAGTTATAAATTCAATTTACCTCGTCAAAGAAGACTTGGGTTTTTCTTAAAATCTGCTTCAATTCTGTCAGTTCCAAATAGTTGCGTTTCAAAGCTTCGGCGTTCTGATTAACTTCTCGAAGTTCATTTTCTAACTTTTCAAACGTGGCCTGTAATGAATACACTTACAAATAGTTTGACGTTTTACTAAAGATATGTGCATTTATAATAGTTGAACCCGTCCAAATCTGGACGGATGGGTACCGTTGTCGACCATACAAAGCACCTACATTTTAATCATGCCGATTCCCACATTATAACCTAAGCACTTACTCAAATAATACTCTAAATCAAGGGTGGTCAACCAGCGACCTGCCAAACTCATCATAGTTTTACAAAATACATTTATTTTATAATGGTAATTTGGATAGAAAATGAGGAAAAGGCAGATAGGTGGAAAGAATATTTAGAGAAACTATAGGCAGGTGATGAGTTAGGAGATATATTACAGAAGGAAGATAGTGTGGAGATAGATGAGCTTGGTTATCCCATAAGGAGAGAAGAGTTCGATGTAGCATTAAAAAACTTAAAGAATAATAAGGCGCGAGGTGTATATGGGGTACAGGGGGAAATTATAAAACATGCAGGACAAGAGGTTAGAGATCGTTTGTTTCAGCTAGTTAGTCACATTTACGAGACGGGGAAAGTCCCAAAGGATTATAAACGGAACGTAGTAGTAACATTACCTAAGAAGAGGGGCGCGGATAGTTGGGAGACATTTAGAACAATTAGCTTAACTTCCCTTGCGTCAAAAATCTTAACTAGAATTGTACAGAGGAAGATGGAAAAAAAGCCGGAAGAACTATTAGGGGAAGATCAATTTTAGTCCAGTCGGTAGAAAATTTTCCCGACATAAATTTGTTACGGACGGGAGTTGTTCTATGTTGTAGACGGGGAAAAGTTAAACATCCTTGTATATTTTTAAACTTCGAAAAAGTGTGCGTTAACAAATGGGGGAGGTCCAAAGTTGGCAAAAACCAGGTTTTTAGATGTAGAAGGCAGGATATGCCTTTTGGAAAGAAAAGTTTCAAATAAAAATTGTAGAGAAATTAAAAACCTACAATTTGAGCCTCAGTACGATCAATTTTGTCAATTGGTTATTGCACAAATCCCAAAAAATAATCAAAAATGTCATTTCTTGTATATTGATTGTTTATTGCATAAATGACCTTTTTAGTGATTTTATCACATTGAAATGACGGTTTTTAAATTTGGAATCGGACTAGTTTTTGTGGGCGTAAATTGGTCAATTTGTTAGTGAAATATTGTTAATTGTTTATCCCAACAGACATGAACAGTTATTGGCGAAACTTTTTTTTGAACAAACATTTTCAGTTGCACTCTTTGTAAAGGTGGAGTTCTTTATATCCCGTTAGGGGCATATCAAAAAGTTCATTTTTATCCCCTTATTTATTGCTGTAAATAAGGGGGTCATTTTTCATTATAAACAATTAGAGCAGCAGCGACCCCTACGTAACGTACGAATTTTTAACCGAGGAATATGAAAGGGTGACTTCGAAACAAACATTAAAAGAGCAAAACGAATCTCCTACGACCAATAGGAACCGAGTTAACATTTTTTCTTTTAAACGTTCCAGATTAATTGTTTTTAACTATTAAATAATGAATTTGGGGGCATTTGATAGAGAAATCTTTATATTTTGTAGTATTGTTTTTAAAAAAGTAATTTTTTTGTTATTGCTAAAAGACTTTTCTAAAGTGATCAGTAATTCCTGACGACACAACGTAGTTAGCGATGAGAATAAAACATTGCAAGCTGGCGCGCCGCGTCAATCGGAGAACGTGGAGAAAATAGTCGTATTTCTGAAAATTTTCATCGGATTGAGCTGACAAAAAATTACGAACAGTGGTATAATTGGTTTTCAATTTTAATTAATAGTTTTTGCTCTAATAGCAGTACATACTTAATCCGTTCGGTAAAGAACTTTCACGATATTTTGTTACTGGATGGGAGTTCTTCACTGTTGTAGGCGGAGAAAAGTTAAGCATCCCTGAAAATTCGTACGTTACGTAGGGGTCGCTCCAGCTCTAATTGTTTATTATGAAAAATGGCCCCATTCTTTACAGCAATAAATAAAGGGTTAAAAATGAATTTTTCCATTTGCTCCTAACGGAATATGAAGATCTCAACCTTTACGAAAAGATTAAATCTATGTGCAACTGAAAATGTTTGCTCAAAAAAAAGTTATGGCAATAACTATTCGTGTCCGTTGGGATAAACAATTAACCATATTTCACCAACAAATTGACCAATTTACGCCACAAAAACTAGTTTGATTCCAAATTTAAAAACCTTGATTTCAATGTGATACAATCACTAAAAACGTCATTTTTGCAATAAACAATCAATATACAAGAAATGACAATTTTTGATGATTTTTTGGGATTTATGCAATAACTAATTGACAAAATTGATCGTACCGAGGCTCAAATTGAAGGTTTTTAATTTCTCTACAATTTCTATTTGAAACTTTTTTTTCTAAAAGGCGTACCTAGCCTTCTAGATCTAAAAACGTGGTTTTTGCCAACTTTGGACCTCCCCCATTTGTTAACGTACACTTTTTCGAAGTTTCAAAATATACAGGGATGTTTAACTTTTCCCCGTCTACAACATGGAACAACTCCCGTCAGGTAACANCGCGCCTCAAATTGAAGGTTTTTAATTTCTCTACAATTTTTATTTGAAACTTTTCTTTCCAAAAGGCATATCTTGCCTTCTACATCTAAAAACCTGGTTTTTGCCAACTTTGAACCTCCCCATTTGTTAACGCACACTTTTTCGAAGTTTAAAAATATACAAGGATGTTTAACTTTTCCCCGTGTACAACATAGAACAACACCCGTCCGGTAACAAATTTATGTCGAGAAAATTCTCTACCGACTAGACTATTTGGGTTTAGAAGAAATAGAGGAACGCGAGAGATCATTCTAGCTTTACGGTACATAGGATTTGTAGATATAGAAAAAGCTTTTGACAATGTTGAATGAGACAAGACGTTAAAAATACTTAAAAATGTAGGGATGAGTTACAAAAATAGAAGAGTAATACTTAGTTTGTATAAAGAGCAACAGGCAGTTATAGAGATGGAGCTGCAACGTAGAGAAGTTAATATTAGGAAGGGAGTCCGACAGAGATGCACATTGTCACCGCTACTTTTTAATCTATACATCGAAGACGCCATCAACATCATTAAAGACAGTACAACTGTAGGGATGGATATACAGGAGCAAAAGATTAGTATACTTAGATTTGCAGATGATATAGCAGTATTAGTATCTAACAAGGAGGAGTTAGAGATAGCTTTAAATAAAATGGAAGCGGTATTGACAGATTAGTACTGTATGAAAATAAATAAAAATAAAACAAAAATACTGCTATGCAAGAGAAGAAAAAGTAGGAAAAAAGCGAATATAACGATAGGAGACGAAAAATTAGAAAAAGTGGCTGATTTTAGATACCTAGGAAGTTGGATAAGTCAGGACGAAAGGAGTAGTAGGGATATAAAGCAGAGGATAGAGCAGGGTCGAGACGCCTTCAATAAAAAGAAGTCACTTCTATGCTCGCGAACGGTTAATTTAGAAATTCGAAAAAGGTTGTTAAAGGAACTAAAGGTACAGTGGGCGCGGGTCAATAAGAAATAGCCGAGATAAGTTAATAGGACACCTTCTCATGAAAGAGTCATATAATTCAAGATGGAAGAAGTAATAGTGATAGAAAACGGAGGATAGCGTAGGGTCTCTATAATGTCTATAGTGTCTATAGTGGGTCTCAATCTAATATGGAGATATATGCACAATTTTACATGCGGCCCGCGGAGTTATAATTTATTTCGAAAGTGGTCCGCAAGATTATTTTAAGCTATTAAGGTAATAGACATTAAGACCCTTCCTTTTTATCATTAAACGTTTTAATAGTCATCCAATTCCAGAATCTTAGAGGTACATATTTTAAAATTCGCAAGGGGTGACACTGTTGCATTCATACCGTACATCTCCAAAACATTGACTCGACTATTAACCAAGTTCCTCGTTCTACACTCAAAAATAGAACTACATAAGAACAGTAAACAGTGACGTCCAATGTTTTTACGAGCTGAAAATGTAGAAATCAATGAACAGTCGGAGTTTTGTCACTGCGCACCCCAAGATAATTGTCCATGAGATTCTGAGTTACCTCCATGAGAGGATATAAGTGCATCAATTGTGTTTGCGAGACAAAAACCTTTTTTTGCTTTTTTCATTTGTTAATATCATTTGAACAGTTTAATAGTCCGATAAAATTTTACAAAACTCCAGTCCTTGAAAAATTAATCGCCTGTACGGCACTTCACACATTTTTTGCCGTTTTTCTAAAACTTCTAACTGAAAAGTGATATTTTTGATCATGGTTAATCAACACAGAACCTAGAACAGTATCCCTGATGCGTAGATCTTTACAAATGTCATTAAGAGAAACGTGTCCCACCATGATGCAATTCACGTAAGTCCTTGGTGTACAACACTATATATGCCAATTAGAAAAATCTATCCTACCATCATCTAACTTAAACGCTTGGTTGAAACCTTTCAACCCATAACCTAATCTAAACCGTTGGTGAATACCGCTTACCTTAATAAACAGCACTTCACACGAACCCCTTCTCACCATAACCTAAACCCATGGTGCATAATATTTCACACGTCAATTGGGGAATCGTCTATCGTCTCTCACTTTATACAAATCTAAAGAAGAAATAACGCGGATAAACTCTGATCTTCTATCTAAAGGTACGCGAATTGATAATCAGAAACGGCTACTTATGTGGCCTATCGCACAGCAGTATTTACGACTGGTTCTCTAGCCCTAAGGCAACTCCAATACGCCACCGGTATCGTAACCCCACACCTCTGGAACCTCAGTTCTAAGACTGATTGGACACACACCTCCACTCTTTCCTATCCTGAGCTAATCTTCGCATTTCCCTAAAACTAGAACAGCCCACATCCTTAACTATTTGCAAACAGTAACCTAACCTAGGTCTACCTCTACCCCTCCTAACTCCTGTTTCTGCCTCTAATGTCTCTGACTAGACCTTCATGTCTGAGGTGTCCCACCAACCTATCTCGCCTATTTTTTATTGACTTCCCATTTGCCTGTAATACCACACCTCAAAAGCTTCTAACCTTTTCTTTTTCGCCGCGCCCTCTGTCCATGTTTTGCACTCGTACAGCACCGTGCTCCAAACATACACCTTTAACCTTTTTCGAATTTCTAAATTAACCGTTCGCGAACATAGAAGTTAAGGATTTAAAAAAAAAAGGAAGGAAGAAATTGAGCAACTGAAGATGATTACCCAAAATATTGGAGACTTTAAATCAGAACATCAAGTAAGCAATGACAAAGGAGCATATTTTATAATACCAACCATATCTTAATCTTCAAGAGATATTCATGCAAGTTATTTTTTTACTTACTTCTATATGAAAATTTACCGAATAAATTAACAAACCTTTGAGTTTTTCTTTTAATATTTGATGTGAATGTGAATTATTGTTATTGTTGTTGTTTACTAACCTCAAGATCAATCATTTCCCTTGGTTGTGGTGCTTCTGGATTTTCTCCAGTATCCAGCATTGGAATACCATCTTTTTTGATCTCCTTTTCCAGATATCGTAATTTTCTTTCCATTTCATCACATCGGCGAACCTCATTAACAAACTTTCTTTGGAAGGCATTAACATCAGGATTAAGCTAAAAGATAAACATGAAACATATATGCATGCAAATATTATAAATTTTCAAATAAAATGACATACATCCCGAAATTGTACAAGACCAAGTTCTCCAAGTTCAGAAACGCAAGCATAAGCTGCTTCACTTTGTAAAAAAAGTTGACATAAAGTCATTTCCTCACTACGAAATAACGATCCCATTGCAAATTAATTACAACCAATATATACCAATTTAATTGTTAGATATATCGTATATCAATCGAAAACACTAATAACGTTCACGGTTCACGATTTATTAAAAAACGGAACAATAAACTAGTTTATTCTACCAGTTAAAACAACTGCTTACTGGTAAACGAAACATATTTACGATCAATATTTTGACGCACTGAAACTGGAAACGTGCCAATACATCAATAATCACTTTAACCATACCACAGATACGACCATACTTTGACAACGAATATAGACAATCAACAAAAACAATCACAGGGCAAAAACTATGTAGAAAACTACAATATAACCAATCACGACCTTAACTTTCGTAGTTTCTTACGATTATTATTATAATAATTTTGTCATAGATACCGTGTACCAATCCTAGACTAGGTACCAATGTCAATACCAAACCCTTAGTAGATCTATTATCTATGGTACCAATCATGCAGAATCTATGGAATACAGCTGTGACCACTTTTAACGTTTGGTTGCTCCTCTGCTACTTGCAGGCACCGATAATGTAACACCCAGAAGAATCAAATCAAAGCTAAACGTCCAGTAAAATAAAAAAATTTTCACTGTTGATCATAGAGAGCTGTTGAAAATAAATAATCCAATTTTTTGACAGTTAGCTTACCTATGACTTAACAGTAAAAAAAAAAATAAAAAGTAGCGAGATTATTATCAATCAATATCAATAATAACTTATTAAGTATCAATATTGTAAAGCCCTACCTACAATGTAAAGCGAAATAGTGAAATCTTTTCTTATTGAAGTAGTGTTTTTTTATAACTAACAGTTTTGTTTTGATTATATTAACCTATAATGTCGGATAACATCACTTTTGGAAACAGTTTACAAAAAAACTTCAACAAAATGAAAGAAAAAAAAGTCAGACCCTTAACCAAGGTCGTTATTCGTCGATTGCCTCCTGATATAGACAAAGGAACGTTTATGGAACAAATATCTCCTGTGCCAAACTTTGATTATTTTTACTTAATAAAGGCAGATAGTTTGTTAGGTGAATTTGCTTTTTCAAGAGCCTACATCAACTTTATTAATGTCGAAGATATCTTCATATTTAAGGAGAAATTTGACAGTTATGTATTCATTGATCAAAAAGGACATGAATATGCTGCTGTTGTTGAGTTTGCAGCTTTTCAAAAGATCCCAAAAAAAAGAAGAGCACGTCCCGACCCAAAGTGTGCCACAATTGAGTCTGATCCGTACTATAAAGAGTTTTTACTTTCTCTCAGTGAGCAACCAAAACCTGAAGAAAAACCAGAATATTCTTATCAGTTTTCATCTGAAAATAAAGAAGACCTAATGACCACACCTTTGCTTGAATATGTAAAACAAAAAAAAGTAGATAAACAAAGAATCAGAGAAGAAAGAAGAGATGAAAGAAGGAAAAGAGAAATTGAAAGAAAAAAGTTTAAAGAAGATGAGAAAAAAAAATATTTGGAAGAAAAGTACAAACCAGGTGCCAAGTCATATTCTTCTCGTGGATCAAAGTCATTTGTTTATGGACATAAAACAAATGAACCAGAAATAGTTGAAGAAGAAGAAACCCATTTGAGAAAAGGAGAATCAAATACTGATGATCCAAAATTATTTTATAAAAACAACAGAAGAAATTTTAATCATGATAAAGTAAAACCAAATGGTCATTACGAATCTAAAGACTTCAAATATAGAAAAGAAGATTATAAAGATTATAGCCGTGAGAGAAACTTTGGAAATGTAAAGAAAATGAGTAAGTATGAAACTAAACAGAATGTCGATTCTGAAAAAAACTACCCTAAAAAGGTTAAAAAGTATAGTGCAATAAAGGAAGAACGGAGAAATGAAATTAAAAAGCATGTGCAAAAAAAGTCTGAACTAAAACATGACGATATCAAGAACACAAATGAAGAAATAGAACAAGAAATTTTTGAAAACTTGGAATCACAAGAATCAACTTCTGTAGAGACAACTGAATCCCCTACAGATAAAAATGAAATTAAATTAACCCATAATAAAAATAATCAGGTTTCTAAAGACCCTTTACAGCATTGGGAATTGAAAGAAAAGGAATTAAAAACTACAAATAAGGAAAATGACCCAAGGACACAAAGAAGAATCAGAAACAAGGATAGACCATCAATGGCTATCTACCAACCTGGGATGTTATCAAAACGTAAACAGGAAGGAAGTGTGACTGAAACAACCAATCAAAACATTGAAAATAAACCTAGTGATAAAGTTTAATTTGCAATAAGGATATATGTATAATTTGAAAATACATGAGTTTTATTTAGAAGGAAATATACTTTAATATCATTTGATGAAATACATGTTATATTATCAAAACATAGAGAAACATATTACTATGTACCTTAATAATCTCATAATTTCAACATTGCTTCATATTGTGCTTTTGTAATTGGTTCAATTAAATATTCTGTTAATGATAAAATTAAGTCATTAGCTGTTTTAACAATTACTCTTCCAGACTCATCATCCAGGCTCTGTATTTCACCAAAACAATCTTTATAACGTCCTGCTATTACTTTTACAAGTGTGCCCTTTTTAGTTATTTCTTCTTCAATATTTTTGCCTTTATCATCATCATAAGTTTTGCTTAATAATTTACTAACTCCCAAACCCATTCCTTTTGGTCTCAAAGTAGGTTCTTTTATTTTTAAAGGAACTTTTTGTCTTTTTCCTATCGACATTCCATTCTTCCATCCCATTCCTCGCAACATGGCAAAACCAAATTCACTTATTGGTACATCCTCATAATCTTTCAAAGAAGATTCTTCTTTACCATCTAAGACAACAGTGTTTTCTTTAAGTTGTGGCAGGTCTATAATCGTTTTTTTATTATTTTGAGAATCTTGAAGAAGTTCTTTTGCTGCAAGTTCATCCAAAGTGAGCTCTGAATCTGGTCGGTTATCATTATCATTCTTGAGAGACTTGCTTGTTAATCTTTTTTCTCTAGCTTCTCTTATGCGATCCGAAATATTTCGTGATGCTCCAATGTTAATAACTAACGATGTAGGAGATGTCTCTTCATTATGATGCGTTAATTTAATGGACTTATTTTCAATATATTCTATTAGTTCTCCTTTTTTTGGAAGTTTCTTAGGTATACTACCTTTCTTCAACGTCTTGTTAAACGTGAAAGAAAGTTTCTTTTCGCTCTCAGCCATTTCTTAATCATTCTTTCTTCTTAATATCTGTTTCATGATTGTTAATTGACTGTTAATGATCTACCATATGATCTACTTTTCAACAATTTTTCTAGAAAGACATTTACACATCATTTAACCTTGTTCAACAGTAACTACCACAGATAATGGAAAATGGATGATAATAGTAACCATAGAATAAAGAAATAAATACTATCGTAAGCATCGACGTTTACCCTTTGTAGATCTATTATCTATGGTTCTTGTGCATTGGAGATATGTGCACTTATTATCTATGGTGCACTTGTAATCCGTGATAGATGTAAAACTCTCGAGATTTGGACGATAGTAGTGACATCTAAGTTTACCCCACATTAGTACACGATACTTGGAATATATACATAAATGGTATTGGCAAAGAAAACTTCGAATTTCACTGCCATCTATACATCAAACTATGAAAAGTAACCAAAGGCGCGCATTTCAAAATTACACCAAATTTAATTTCTTTTTGTTTTAAANAAACGATCTAATGACTTTTATTGCTGGTGTTCTCAGATGGGCGGAATAGCCATTTATTTCCACTACCCACTCGCTGGTATTAAGTAATTTGGAATTGTTTACAACCCCTTTTCTTCAATATTGTTTCAGTGTTCGGCATCAATTTCTATCTGAACACGTAAGTTGCTACAACTATTTTTTACCTTCATTATTAATTATCTTGTGTTCAAAATGTTAATTGTACATTATTGAAAGGTTTTAGTTAAAAATTGTTAAACTGTATTACTGTTTCTTCTGTTTTGTGGCCTTTTCTATTTCCTCAATTGTCTCTTCAAATTACATAAAATATTTTATTTTGTACAAGTGTATTTGTTAACATTCAATAAATTTTTTTTACTATTTCACTTATTATTACTTTTACACTTTAAAATTCCCAAATTCTTATGTTAAGGTGAAAAATGGACAAGTAACAATGTATTTCCTTTTTTACAAAAGAGACAATGTCTTTTCTTTTATAAAAAAGGAAAATACATTGTTTCTTATCCATTTTTCACTTTAACTTATACATTTCGAAAAACAATAAGTAACTAACAAATTTAAAGTGCGCGCCTTTTTTATTTAGTATTGACTACACCTGCCGGAGGGCGAGCAAATCGGCGCATTTCGAGTTGACCATCTATTACCCTTTGTAGATCTATTATCTATGGTTTTATCAATACCGCTTCCATTTTATTTAAAGCTATCTAGCTCCTCCTTGCTAGATGCTAATACTGCTACATCATCTGCAAATCTAAGCATACTAATATTTTGCCCCTGTATATCTATTCCTACAGTTGTACTGTCTTTAATGATGTTGATCACGTCTTCGATGTATAAATTAAAAAGTTGTGGTGACAGTGGTAGTTTTTCAATTAGAGCACTAGAGCGCACAATGGCACAATGCGGCATTATGCGCAGCATCGAGCAACGCCTCGCACCGTTGAGCACTTTGAAAAGTACTGCCTATGTCTGATGCGCACAAAAAAATATAATTGAAATCATAAAAATCGAAATAACTTATAATATTTAGAAAAAGCTTTCGACTAATTATTGTTGTTGTATACCATTCCCTTTAAAAGTACATTAACAAGGTTGCTAAGTCGATGACTGTTTTTTTTCAACAATGGCATTAGCGCACTGTGTTGGCGCACTTGAAAACTAATACACATTCCAATTAAGCACCAGCACACTTCGGCATGGTGCGGCCAAAGAATACAAACCCATAGAAGGCCACATCAATGCTATTTTTTGTCGCAGTAGAGTGCTCAGTTCTAACTGCGACCGTAGGAGTCGCATGGTCGAAATAGGCAGGGCAGGCTGCAGATGGAATTGTCAGCAGTCGTTGACCATGCGTCGACCAGAGTAGTTATGAGTAAGGGTGCACCTAAAAATTTTTTCTTTCAGGATGAAACATATTTTAATTAGTAGCTGATTATTATGAAGATGATGTTCAATATTTACATAAATCTCGAAATTTAGTATGTATTTTTTAATTCTCAAATGATATTAAATGTTGATTAACAAATGCAACAAAATTACTAAAAAAATATTATCATCTGAACTCATCGGTTGAGAACAAACAATTTCATCGATTATAGTATAATTGCCATTTTATAATGTTTTATCATTATCAATATTTTCTATTCTGACTGTTGCTATTCTCTGAAATGTAAATATTGAACATCATCTTCATAATAATCAGCTACTAATTAAAATATTTTTCACCCTGAAAGAAAAAAAAATTTATGTGCACCCCTACTCATACCTACTCTGATCGACGTATGGTCAACGACTGCTGACAATTCCATCTGCAGCCTGCCCTGTCCTATCTATTTCAACCATGCGACTCCTACTCCTTTTCGCAGTTAGAACTGAGCATTTTACTGCGACAAAAAATCGTATTGATGTGGCCTTCTATGTGTCTGAATTTTTTGGTGCGGCACTGAGTCGCATTATGCTCTGTAATTGGAAAACTACCAGTGTGCATCCCTGTCCCCATTATCCCTGTCTGACTCTCTTCCTAATATTTACTTCTCTACGTTGTAGCGCCATCTCTATAACTGCCTGTTGCTCTTTATACAAACTACGTATCACTCTTCTATCTATGCGATATACCGAGTTTATTATCTATTATTTATGTTTATTATTGTTATTTATAATACTTTGTCCTATGACTTTGTCATAGATTAAGGGATTTTATTTGACGTGTTGCTGTTTTTAACGTGCCGTTCGTACTACTAATCATTTCTAAGTTTCTGAATGGTTTCTAGTAAACACTAATAAACGTTTATACACATTCGAAAACAAACGTATTAAAGAAAAATAGTAAAAACTGTTAATAACTGTTGGATATTATTTTTTTAAAGATGTATAAACGAAAATTATTAGAAGAGCCCACTGCTAGCAGTAAAAGGGTTTTCAAACAAAAGCATTCGTTGGATTCTGACGAAGAAGATGTAGAAGATGACGATAACGTTTTGGATGAACGAGAAATTGAAGGGGAGGAAGAAGGATATACAAAAAATGTAGAAGGACAGTATGTTACTGCATTTAATATGAGAGAAGAAATGGAAGAAGGCCACTTTGATCGAAATGGTCACTTTATCTGGAAAAATGAAAAAGAAATTCGTGACAATTGGCTAGACAATATTGATTGGCAGAGGGTAGCATCGGTGGATAAATACAAATTAACAGACGACAGCAAAGGTCTCGGAGACGAAAGTACAGATGATGAGGATGGAGACAGCTTCAACGAAGAGGAAACTTACAAAGCCATATTAAAGTACTTAAAAGAAAAAGAAACAATAAGTAAAGCGTTAAATAGGCTTAGTGGAGATACAAAAAAACTTTCCAGTATTGAAAGACTTAAAAGAAAGAAAGAAGGAACTCTTATTCAAAATAAAGAGGTAACAGAATTAACACAACTTGCAAATGAAATTTTGACCAATAAGGGAAATATGGACATTTACCAAGAAACATATGAAATAATTCAATCAAAAATAAAGACATTTGAAAATAAAAAAAAGAGTAGAGGAGAAAGTTCCATGCTGGATATGTATGCTGATGATTTTGAAGCAAAAGAACAGCAGCAACTGAAAGAAATGCCCAACTGTATTACAAATAATACTGACACTATGTGGGAAATAAAGTGGAAAAATGATGAAGAAAAGATAGATGGGCCTTTTTCTACAGAACAAATGGCAAAGTGGTCAGAAGAAGGTCACTTTAAAGAAGGTGTTTTTGTTAGAAAAGTAGGAGATGATTCAAATTTTTATTCATCAAACAGAGTAGACTTCGAACTGTACTTGTAAATGTTGTTATAAGTTTATTTTATTGTAAAATGTAAAAGTATATTCATGAATATTGCTGAATATTAAAATAATCCTTTGTCGTAATAAAATATTGATATCAATATTTACTTTAGATTACAAGTTAAATAATAACAGATAAATGATTGCAAAATGCAAACTAAACAATAGAGTACAATAGACTAATTGGATTTATCAAATGGAAGTAAGTTTTTCTTCATTTGGTAGTAGGTGTATTAGGTTGTAAAATTAATCAGCGCGGCGGATTGTCACATTTCTTTTTTTGTTCCTTAATCACAATGCTTTACTGGTCATGCAATTCCCTATTGTACACTATCAGTTTAAATTTTACACTATACATGCCGGAGTATCCTGTAATGAACGTTGCATTGAAGCGCGCTCAAGCGATCCCCACTACGAATTCCACTACGTGGACGAGTAGAGGGGACATTCGTTGCATGATTTCGTTACATAGCAACTCGCATGAAACGAACTTACCCTACCGTGCGTAAAGAAATTTCACTTCAAAAAGTCAGAGGAAATATGTCAGATTAGGCCTTATGAAGCCATATACAGTGTTTGGGGAGAGTATTTGTCAGTAAAATTTTTGCCGGCGGACACTCCTGACTATAATAAATATCAGCTTGCTTCTACGCTACTACACATAATAGTCGCCCATTATTATAATAAGTAATTGAATAACTACTTTGTTCGTCGCTGATAGTATACAGTACTATTTAAAGTACTCCTCAACACAAAATACAAAAGAAATACTCGTACAACACGGAAGCTACAACTGACGGAATGCAGCGTTACGCTGTCGTAACTGCGTGATCCTACCAGGGCTGAATTGAATACTTTCAAATACATTTTTCTCGGAAACGGTAGAGTTTCGGATTACTATACATTTACTTAATTTTCTTGTTTTATAGTACCCTTTCCGGCAAGCTTACTACTTATTTTAACTTATTTTAGAAACACCCTGTATGGCCCAGAAATCTTATAAAACTGATATTACACCGAGCGTGAAGCTGATGGGACATAAGAAAATAAAACTTTATAGCAATCTATTACAATTACCACGAATTTATAACGTGCCCAAGAATGTTAAATGGAAAGATATATGAAAAAAAAAAAAAAACAAAACATGTTGCTACATTCACTTTTTTATTTAATATTACCTCTTCTGGGATAATAGCTTACGATTAAGATTTCAAGAAAACCTAGGTGTGATTGAAACACTATCAAAATATGATATGATGTAATCTTAAATTATATTACTAATTTACATCTTTAATGCATCAGATTCGGCATAGACAAAAATACTTTTGAATGCATTTCCTTAAACAGAATAGACGGTAATCCAAGTGAAAGTATCAGTGCAACAATTTGAAACTATTTTAAAGTACAAAATTATAGATACATCTTATAAAGTAGAAATGCCATCAAATGAAGACCATGGTTTTTGATATACATACTATCATAAATATTAAAAACCTTGTTGGTACTGCCTAGATTCCAAACGATTTTGAATAACTTCAAGTTGTCGTTTTGCCTCACACTGAGGAAAATTTTGTAGATCATAATACTGTGGAGCTATTTTCAATAGCCATTCGGCTGCAACAAAATAAACAAAAAAAAATAGGTAAAATTATAATGTCATTGATGGAATTTGATAAATGTTTACCTTTAATATCAGTAACAGTTCTAATGTAATTTTTTGTTGTTAAAACAAATTCGTTATAAATGACCCACTCTGGCTTATGATCGAGACAAGTAGAAGGATGCAACTGAACCATTTGATTATCTTTAATCGTCAAGTAATGGCCTGTTCTTTCTAGATGAGCCACCTAAAACATGAACAAGATAAAATACCTATATTTTTTCATTTATTAATTGGTAAGTTCTACATGAGCATCAATTAAAGTAAAATAAAATAAGCAAAAATATCCAATTTATGACTAAAAGACAAAATAAATTACCTGCATGAAAAATCCATTAACTAAAGCTTTTCTTATGTTAATGTAATAATCTTTGCTGCTGAAGTCAGTGGATGTTCTCTTCAAATTAAATCTATCCATTATGCGCGACAACTGTTGCCTGACATTATCTGCTGACTTAAGTGAGCGATAGTTGATGAAGTTATCGTAACACCATTGTGGATCTTCCATATCTCAACATACAAACAAATGAAATACCTATTCTTTTGTAAGTTCAATACATTTCATTGCAGAAATGTAAAGTAAGTACGTGTAAGGATCAATAAATTAGCAGCTTCAATACAGTAGGTACGTATTTATTATATTCAGTCATGCACATTACCAATTTTAAAGTGTTTGTTGCATTTTAACTATTTTCCAGAATTAAATGATCAGCTGGTACAATTAGTAGTTAAATAAGTACAAAAATAAAGTCAGAAAATTAAGTAAACAACAAAACATACAAACACGTGCAACAAAATGTATAGTTTTAAAAAGTAACTGAAATATTTCAACCACAGATCACTTTTTTATAAATCGCCTTGGCGTTTCATAAAAGAACGGATGTATGTATAAGTCACAACTAACTGGAAAAATTAGGCACTAACTAATATGACTGGGCAACTAAAAAAACAGCGCTGGCGGTTAAACGTGTACAGAGACAAGTTACACCGTTAGAGGTCCTTAAAAAATATATAGAATTTCCATACTCGTTTATTTTTGATTATCAGTCCTGTCGTAACATTTTGTGGAGTTACGTTTAGTTATGCATCTGTACATTGTGTTGTAATCTAAGACGTATATGCACAGTATAAATAAGCAGCAGTGAATCTCTTCATTGGATTAACTAGCGTCACAAACTCACAAGCATTTTTTGCTGAGTCATAGCATAAATACATGTCTGACATCATCTCAACGATATAGGAAATATTCAGTTGTTATATTTAAATATTACTTTCTGACTGTTTCAAGAAGTGACACAGTAATTAAGTGAAGTGATAAGATAATTATAGCACTTTACGTATTTGATACAGTGGAAATCGAATATAAATTCAAAAATTTTTAGATTTGATTGTAAAGAGCATCCTGCAGTATAGATGNTATTTGAGCGGACACGTGTTTCGCCCACTTCATACGTGGGCATTATCAACGCGAGACTTGTGGTAATTAGGGGTGAGTATTCCTTTTAATTTTTAAATAGTATCATTATCATTTTCTTCTAATTGGATAGCACTTGGGTGCGAAGAAAGACTAAGAAAATAATTTACACAAATGTTGTTTTTTAAACTGCTTTGTAGTATTCGCTTCGCAACCATCGCCTACAGTGTCAACGTGATGGTTGGACTACACAAGTTTTAATCTATTTGTTGTTCTGGTCATATCACTACATTAGCTTCCAAACGAACAAATGTGTCAAAATACAAAATTTATATAATGTTTGTAAATTGAGGCTAATATATGATTCTTAAGGTGACCGCAGCAGCTGACTGCAGAGACAGACGGCAGTGTCACTGCGGTCAGATTAGTGTAGCTTTGAAATATTGTCTGTAATAAGAACATTCTTTATGGTCTCACTCTGCGGTCGGCATCACTATTGATTCTGTGTTGCGAATGCACTTATGTAATATCATATAATCGGTATTGACGCTGCTAATCTGCTGCTACACCTTTCGGTTTGCTTCGAGGGCCGTGTTTTGAAGATGGTTGCAAAGCTTATAAGTAAACGTCAGTAACCCTTACCTAATGTCATTCCCAACGATCCGGCTGAACGTTTGACTAGTCGCAAACGATATGCTACATTGTAATGCTGCCTAGCCGTATTTGAAAATTGCGAATATTATAGACTTAAATCTACTGATGGGTAAAAAAAGGTCCGGTTTCTAAGGAATGCAGTGTTTCTTGCTTAACTGCAATGACTTTTGAAGTCACGAATATGGAGCATTTACAAAATTGATTTACGATAGTATAAAACCTGGCACGCTGTAAAAGCGTTTCCTATTAATAAATTAACTTTAAAATAAAATACTTACTCTGTTTGAATGCATGATAAACATTGAGAAGGGTAAGATGGTCACCATCGATGTGTGCGAATCGCATCTTGGCATCGTCGGCTGCTTTTTTTGCCTCGTTCGGTCGGACAAAACACTGCGGGACTAAATATTGGAGCGGGGCATTTGGCGCCCGTATCCGTTCAATATAGTGGCCACATACTCTCAACCTTCAATGCCTACAGAGCTATCTCAGTTTTAGCATATATTCAATTTTGAGCAATTACGGTAGGTAGAAAAATATATCGTTTTTAAGTCGGAGTACTTATTAAAACATGAATTTACGATTACGTATATTACGGACTACCTAGGTAACTATTATTTCAAGTAATATATAACAATAATTATTTACATTAACATTCTAAAGAGGTAAAATATGCTTGTTTGTTTATTTGTATGTATGTTCTCTGGACTACTGAATCGATTCAAAAAATTCTTCAACTGATAGAAACCTACGCAATCCCTGAATAACATAAAGTGGCTTTGTTCAAATTTAGAACAGAAGACTAATAAAAATGTAAACGTTTGTTAGATTTATTAATAACCATCAAATTCGAATTTTGTTTTTTTATAAAAACTTTGTGATACCATTTTTAATGACCCATAATTCGAGCTTAACGAACATTTAGAAAGTATACGAATATAACACACGGTACAGGTTTAAGTGAACATGGCCTACAAAGTAATCACAGCATAAATGGAAACGAATGTAAACTTCTACATTGCTAACAAAAAATATAAAACTGATGTTGCTTGAGCCTTTAGAAATAAAAAAGCGTTGCACTAAAAGTCAATAAGAAATAGGCGAGATAGGTTAGTAAGACACCTTCTCAGGCATGAAGGTCTAGTCAGAGACATATTAGAGACAGAAACGGAAGTTAAGAGGGGTAGAAATAGACCTAGATTCGATTACAGTTCGCAAATAGTTAAGAATATGGGTTGTTCTAGTTTTAGGGAAATGCGGATTAGCTCAGGATAGGAAAGAGTGAAGGTGCGTGTCCAACCATTCTTAGGACTGACGACCTTATAATGATGACTCAAAGTAGAAAATGGCGACTAACTCATCCTAGTTACCAATAAACTTTATCGTTACGAGCACGTGTTTCATCCACTTCTAAAGCATTATTGCAAGAAAAAAATATATAAAAGTGTATGTTTAAAGTACGGCTATATATGGGTAAGAAATGTCGATGTTGGCATGGAGAAAAAGAAGAATATAGATAAAAGAATTTGAAATGTGGTGTGAAGGGTGGGCAGTGAAAAAACCGTAAATAGAAAAGGTTAGAAGTGAGGAAGTATTGGAAAAAGTAAGAGAATGGATGGCGCTATGAAAGTCAATAAGGAAAAAGAGAGATAAGGTATTAGAACACCTGAAATATGAAGGGTTAGTTAGAGACATACTACAGGTAGAAACAAGATTAAAAAGCGGCTGGAGAAGATCCAAAAAACCTGCTAGAAGTTAATTGTATTTCCTGATGGTATAAATGGGTTTTAGAAATCACTTCCACTTTTAAATGATTCTTATAATTTTTCCCCATTTCTTAGAAATATACTTCAAAAACTACTACTAAAATCTTCCCAATGTACCTAATTTGAATTAAAAACTACCGCACTGCTCAAAATTGATATACATTTCCATCTAAATACTGTGACAGCTTAAAAAATGTTTTGACAAAACGGCAGAGAAACAACGATTTTACTTATAAACCTAATTAGGCCCTATCACAGTAGTTAAAACAAAGAAACTTTTTAATTTTTCACTTTAAAATTCCAATGAATTTTACATCCACCATTATTATTACCATTTAGGTACTTTAAATTCTTTTAGCTAACAATAATTTTTGTGTTTTGACAAGATGTGTTTCATATGCTAAGTTACAAAAAAATTAATAAATATAATCAGTTGTTTCTGTATACCGTTTCTACATATAACACGAAATATAAAATTATGTATAAAAGCAATTCTTGAAAATCAACCAAGTTGCTTTTATCAAAAAACAATATAGCATAGTCATTGATGGAATTTTGATAAGTGATCAAGCTTCGGTCGCACAAAAAAGAGAATAGTAACTGCATATGTCTGTTCTAATTAATAAAAATTGATACTACTATGTTCATAAATAAAATGAAGGAAATATTTTGTATACCTGACAACATTGCTGTTATTGACAAAATTTCATTAGAGCAATTATGGTTGCAGCTGGCAATAAGCATCTTGGCCAATTGCGGATCGAGCGGAAATTCGGCCATTACAGCTCCTAAGTCAGTTAAATTTCCGTCATCGTCAAGGGCAGCAAGATAATTAAGCAGTTCCAATGCTCGCATTAGGGTTTCTGGAGCAGGTGGATCCATAAAATCAAAGTGAACCAAATCATCGATACCCAACTTTTTTAACTGAAGAACAACTGAACCCAAGTTTGACCTACAACATAAAAAAATATACGCTAACGTGCTATAAGTTCGGAATGTAGAATTTTATTCTATTTCGAATGGTACTATGGTTCCCTATAGCCATCTTTTCTAGTTTTCAAATTACTTATTGTTCTTTGTGAAATCAGCTAAAATCGTTTAATTTTTTACATAAGATGCATTGATAATCGTAAAGTTCTCCGAGCAAACAATTTATTTTTGTATGAATTACTTTCTTCAATCAAAAATCTTTTTCTTAAAATTTTACATTGTCTTATTTCAAAATTGTCACAATAAATAATAAATGCAGTAATTATATATCATACCTTAATATTTCAGGATAAGTGTTATCTTGCATTTCGTTTTTATAGGCCTTTTCAGTGTACAACCTAAAGCATTTACCAGGTCTCGTCCTTCCAGCTCTTCCAGCTCGCTGTTGGGCAGAGGCTTTGCTGATTGGAGATACAAGTAATGATTCAACGCGTATTCGAGGGTTATACACCTAAAATATATTAACACGATTATGACGGATATTACTTACAGATTTTATTTATTTATTGAACAAAACAGGTTAAAGTGACCCTATTACATAGATATCATCATAAAGTTGTCAGTCCTAAGGCTGATTGGACACGCACCTCCACTTGTTCCTATCCTCAGCTAATTTTCGCATATACCAACCTTCCCCTACCAATCTATTTCGCCTATTTTTTATTGATTTTCATAGAGTGCTCTCTTCTCCTATTCTTTTTAATACCTCTTCATTTCTAACCTTCTCTATCAACGATATTCTTATCATTAGCCGACGCTCAACTTTTCTTTTCCGCCGCGCCTACTGTCCATGTTTCGGACCCCTAATGTGTTGCACTCCAAACATACACCTTTAGCAACCTTTTTCGAATTTCTAAATTAACCGTTCGCGAGCATAGAAGTGACATCTTTTTGTTGCGACTCTGCGCTATTCTCTGTTTTATATTTCTACTGTTCCTTCCATCCTGACTTACTTGACTTCCTAGATACCGAAAATCAGGCACCTCTTCTAATTATTTGTCTCCTATGTTTATATTCGCTCTTTTCCTACTTTTTCTTCTCTTACATACTAGTATTTTTGTTTTACATTTATTTATCTTCGTACAATACTGTTTTGTCAATACCGCTTCCATTTTATTTGAGGCTATCTCTAATTCCTCCTTGCTAGATGCTAATTCTGCTATATCATCTGCAAATCTCAGCATACTAATCATTTGCCCCGTATATCTATCCCTACAGTTATCCAATCTTTAATGATATTGATAGCGTCTTAGATGTATAGATTAAAAAGTAGCGGTGACAGTTTGCATTTTTGTCTGATTGTCTTCTTAATATTTACTTCTCTACATTGCTGCTGAAGCTCTATAACTACCTGTTGCTCTTTATAGAAACTATGTATCACTCTTCTATCTCTGTATCTCATCCCTACATTTTTAAATACATTTAACATAAATAAAACAGATGTAAATTGTACTAACATCATAAATTAGTAAATCCTCTTAAGAAAAAATAAAAATAATAACTGAAGCTGAGCAGCAGCAGGACAAGGTAAATTGCTAAATAGAATTAAGTTTAACTTAACGTTAGTACAAATTAAATTAATTATTACCTTCTGTTTAGCGAATCCAGGGTCAATTACGAATACCACTCCATCAATTGTAAGGGATGTTTCAGCAATATTTGTTGAAACAACAACTTTTCGTCCAATTGCACCATTTGCTTTGTTTGGAGGAGGTTCTTCAAAGATGCGCTGCTGTAGGTTAGGTGGTAGGGTTGAATATAGTGGGATGCACTTTAATTCACCCACTTCAGGTCCTTCAAAATAAAACAGACAAAGTGTAGTCTACTTCAAAAGCATTACAAAACTATAAAAAATAACCAATATCACGATTAATATTATTGAAACTGAAATCGACAATTTTTTTTTGCAAAATTTCTGCCGCATAATTCACTATTAGGTATTTTCAACCTAACCAGATTTAAACATCTCCTTCATTGTATTCTCACAATCTCCACGTTTGGTAATTTTGACTCTGACTGAACAGACATTAATGTTTATGAAGCCATTTCCATAATTTTCTAGCCGTGGAAGATAGTTGTTTAATTTTATAATACATAAACTAACTTAAACAAAAGGTAATTTTATTTAAATGATAATCTTTTTTAATTGTAAAATCTAAGTGTTTTAATGTAGATAAACCTATAATGTGAATTTATAAGCAAAGGATGCTAAATACCTGTCACCACAGCTGACAAAACCCGATACATTATGAGACAAGGAGAAGAGTGTTTTTTATACATTGAACATTTCAAGTGTGTTCCTCTGACACATCAAATATTACTGTGTAGCTCTGGTAAAGCCGCAGTGTAGCAAAACATTTTTTAATAAGTGCAATAAAAAAATCAGTTATTATTTCTGTTTGTTGTTGCGTTTTTTATCGTTTTTAAAATTTTAACTTTAAATAATATTAATAAAGATCAAATAATTCTATTTAAAGTCGAATAAGTGTAGGTACATTTATGAAAATGGTTTATTAAAAATTGGGAACCATAAATAAAAGTTACTACAACATTAGGAAGAAACCTTCTTGTAATAACGTAAAGGAAACAAGTTCTATCATTCTTTTATACTTAACTTTGTCAACCTCCTTACCTAAATTATCGATTTCTCTTTTAATCCTTTTACAGGCTACCTCAATTTCTTCTTGTCCTGTCAAAAATAGCAAAATGTCTCCAGCAATGTCTTCACACATGTGTATTTGTATAACAGTTCTTATAGCAGCCTCTAGATAGTCCCTTTCAGGTTCTGGTGTATAAAATATTTCAACAGGATGTGTACGACCCGGTACATTCATCAATGGAGCATTATCAAAATACTGCTGAAATTTACCAGCATCCAATGTAGCAGACATAATTACCAATTTCAAATCAGAACGTTGCTTGATAACCTCCTTAAGAACGCCCATAAGAATATCAGTAGCTAATGTTCTCTCGTGAGCTTCATCCAGTAATATACACTGATATGCATCTAGCATGGGATCACTCATTCCTTCTCGCAATAACATACCATCAGTCATATACCTAAAAAAAATTGTTTTGACAATGAGAATTATTACAATAATTCGTTTCTTTTAAAAAACATGAAACAATTTTCTTACTTGCCCTCACCATAGAGAAAATAAATAAAATAAATATTTTCTATACACTACACTTAATGTTTTAACTTTCATTTATTGATAGTACTAATTTAAGAAGTATTTTATAAACTATAGTTAGAATCTTGAACTCACTTCAGAATTGTTTTTGCTGATGAACAGTCTTCAAAACGTATACTGTAACCAACTTCTTGACCTAATGCAACATCCATTTCTTCTGAAACCCTTTGTGCTACAGACATTGCAGCTACTCTTCTAGGCTGCGTGCAGCAAACGCCTTTCTTTCCAACAGATCTAGCATATTCAACACACCATTGAGGAATTTGTGTTGTTTTCCCAGAACCTGTTTCTCCAACTAGTACAATACACTGGTGTTCATGTAGCAAACGCATAAAATCTGCCTTGTATTCAAAAACAGGTAAATTGATACGTTTTCTGTAAAGTTCATGATAACGTTGAGTATATGGCAAACCAGTAAGCGTGTTTATTGAAGAGTTCAGTACAGGAGTTGTAACTATGGTAGTAGGTACACCACGTTCCTCCCTGAAAATATTTCTATTTAATATAGGCAGTTATAAATAATAGTGTTTATTTACCGCTTTTTTTTTATAAAAGGATCAACAATATCAATTCTTCTCTTTGACATCTCTAATATATTTTATCTTCAGATGAAGAGATTAAATGAGATAACTATCATAAGCTATCACCACATCATATCACCAACTATAGAACCGCGTTTTAAATTTAAATGTTTTACGTAAAAAATTGCATACGAAAAGCACACTACAGTATACAACCAATACAATTAGGTGTATATTCGAGGCAGAAATATGACAATTTGATGTAATCCAAGCAATTAGCTGATATAGTAAATAAAACGTAATACGCGTAATCGACACAACTCACAATAATATTTAACGTTTTAATGAAATTTATATTTGATCTTTCTAAACTCCTTTTTAGAGACTATTCACATTCACCACCTCTGTCAGACACATTTATCAATTGACACACAAATTGACACCTTTAATCTATGATTTATGATTGACTGTAGTGGATCGTGCATCGAAATTTATTAATAGACATGCCTTAGCGGTCAGAATTGTGGTACAACAAAAGAAAGAGATGGAACGAAGTTTCGGACAATATCAATTTCTCTCACGATAGTGCGTAAGCGTGTCATGAAAGAGATAACACTAGTTCGAAACCATACGTCATCTCCCTCACTTTTCGAGTCAAGAAATTATTATAACGACATACGGCTAAGGCACGTCCATTTATATATGTCTATGGGATCGTGTTTATGTCTATGATCATAGAACATCTAACTTCTATGAAGTGGTTGTCGGGGACATTGAACTAGACTACAGATACTTCTTCACTTCAATGGTCGGGGACATGTCAAATCTTCACTGGCCTATGGTTTCAGGCAGTGTTGCCACTTCGAGGGATTTATCCCGATTCGAAGGATTTTCGACGTTCTCGAGGGATAAAGGGATTTTTCTTTATTTTCGTGGGATTTTTTGTTTGATTTGGTTGACCTGATATTATATCATGAAGGCGCTCATTTTTCTAATTGTGAACGTAAAATTTTGTCAGCTATAGTCGTATAACGCTGTACGATGAAACGATGACGACGACGTGCGTTCAAGCCTACTGATGCAGCCTGCAGGTACCTTCTCAAGTCCCTACGATAAATTGTCTTGAACTTTTTTAAATTGTATATTGTTTTCGTATCATTGTATGGTCTTCAGCAAACATCATGAGAGTGACCAGTCAACAGATCAGAAACAGATGTTAAAACTAATAAAAATAAATATTTGAGTTGGTGTATTGTTCCGAAATCCGAACATCTAAACATTTAAACCCAAGGCCTGGTTTTGTCTGCATTTTTAGGAAACGAGATAACTACATACAATAAAGTTATCGGTATTATGCTATCGACACGAAAAGTTGTCCATGTTTACANATTTCAAGAAAACCTAGGTGTGATTGAAACACTATCAAAATATGATATGATGTAATCTTAAATTATATTACTAATTTACATCTTTAATGCATCAGATTCGGCATAGACAAAAATACTTTTGAATGCATTTCCTTAAACAGAATAGACGGTAATCCAAGTGAAAGTATCAGTGCAACAATTTGAAACTATTTTAAAGTACAAAATTATAGATACATCTTATAAAGTAGAAATGCCATCAAATGAAGACCATGGTTTTTGATATACATACTATCATAAATATTAAAAACCTTGTTGGTACTGCCTAGATTCCAAACGATTTTGAATAACTTCAAGTTGTCGTTTTGCCTCACACTGAGGAAAATTTTGTAGATCATAATACTGTGGAGCTATTTTCAATAGCCATTCGGCTGCAACAAAATAAACAAAAAAAAATAGGTAAAATTATAATGTCATTGATGGAATTTGATAAATGTTTACCTTTAATATCAGTAACAGTTCTAATGTAATTTTTTGTTGTTAAAACAAATTCGTTATAAATGACCCACTCTGGCTTATGATCGAGACAAGTAGAAGGATGCAACTGAACCATTTGATTATCTTTAATCGTCAAGTAATGGCCTGTTCTTTCTAGATGAGCCACCTAAAACATGAACAAGATAAAATACCTATATTTTTTCATTTATTAATTGGTAAGTTCTACATGAGCATCAATTAAAGTAAAATAAAATAAGCAAAAATATCCAATTTATGACTAAAAGACAAAATAAATTACCTGCATGAAAAATCCATTAACTAAAGCTTTTCTTATGTTAATGTAATAATCTTTGCTGCTGAAGTCAGTGGATGTTCTCTTCAAATTAAATCTATCCATTATGCGCGACAACTGTTGCCTGACATTATCTGCTGACTTAAGTGAGCGATAGTTGATGAAGTTATCGTAACACCATTGTGGATCTTCCATATCTCAACATACAAACAAATGAAATACCTATTCTTTTGTAAGTTCAATACATTTCATTGCAGAAATGTAAAGTAAGTACGTGTAAGGATCAATAAATTAGCAGCTTCAATACAGTAGGTACGTATTTATTATATTCAGTCATGCACATTACCAATTTTAAAGTGTTTGTTGCATTTTAACTATTTTCCAGAATTAAATGATCAGCTGGTACAATTAGTAGTTAAATAAGTACAAAAATAAAGTCAGAAAATTAAGTAAACAACAAAACATACAAACACGTGCAACAAAATGTATAGTTTTAAAAAGTAACTGAAATATTTCAACCACAGATCACTTTTTTATAAATCGCCTTGGCGTTTCATAAAAGAACGGATGTATGTATAAGTCACAACTAACTGGAAAAATTAGGCACTAACTAATATGACTGGGCAACTAAAAAAACAGCGCTGGCGGTTAAACGTGTACAGAGACAAGTTACACCGTTAGAGGTCCTTAAAAAATATATAGAATTTCCATACTCGTTTATTTTTGATTATCAGTCCTGTCGTAACATTTTGTGGAGTTACGTTTAGTTATGCATCTGTACATTGTGTTGTAATCTAAGACGTATATGCACAGTATAAATAAGCAGCAGTGAATCTCTTCATTGGATTAACTAGCGTCACAAACTCACAAGCATTTTTTGCTGAGTCATAGCATAAATACATGTCTGACATCATCTCAACGATATAGGAAATATTCAGTTGTTATATTTAAATATTACTTTCTGACTGTTTCAAGAAGTGACACAGTAATTAAGTGAAGTGATAAGATAATTATAGCACTTTACGTATTTGATACAGTGGAAATCGAATATAAATTCAAAAATTTTTAGATTTGATTGTAAAGAGCATCCTGCAGTATAGATGTAAATCACTTGCACTTGATATAAAATTTATTAACAAACAAAATTTTTTTTTGATAGTCGGTTTTTAAGTTTCTTCAAATACATTTTTCTGCAGGTGCAGTAAATTTTTAAAATCGATCGCGGCGGTTACTTCAAGAAAGATGGCAGAAAGGTTACAAAATATCAAAGACACCGGCTGAGAGTTTCAATGCTGTAACTATTTAAGATGCGGTATAGGTCAAGGGTACTTTAATGATTTTCTGAATAAATTAATAGTATCATTTTAGAAAGAGGAGACTGTGGTAAATATTAATTAAAAATTAAAAGGAATACTCACCCTTAATTACCACAAATAATTTTATTTGAGCGGACACGTGTTTCGCCCACTTCATACGTGGGCATTATCAACGCGAGACTTGTGGTAATTAGGGGTGAGTATTCCTTTTAATTTTTAAATAGTATCATTATCATTTTCTTCTAATTGGATAGCACTTGGGTGCGAAGAAAGACTAAGAAAATAATTTACACAAATGTTGTTTTTTAAACTGCTTTGTAGTATTCGCTTCGCAACCATCGCCTACAGTGTCAACGTGATGGTTGGACTACACAAGTTTTAATCTATTTGTTGTTCTGGTCATATCACTACATTAGCTTCCAAACGAACAAATGTGTCAAAATACAAAATTTATATAATGTTTGTAAATTGAGGCTAATATATGATTCTTAAGGTGACCGCAGCAGCTGACTGCAGAGACAGACGGCAGTGTCACTGCGGTCAGATTAGTGTAGCTTTGAAATATTGTCTGTAATAAGAACATTCTTTATGGTCTCACTCTGCGGTCGGCATCACTATTGATTCTGTGTTGCGAATGCACTTATGTAATATCATATAATCGGTATTGACGCTGCTAATCTGCTGCTACACCTTTCGGTTTGCTTCGAGGGCCGTGTTTTGAAGATGGTTGCAAAGCTTATAAGTAAACGTCAGTAACCCTTACCTAATGTCATTCCCAACGATCCGGCTGAACGTTTGACTAGTCGCAAACGATATGCTACATTGTAATGCTGCCTAGCCGTATTTGAAAATTGCGAATATTATAGACTTAAATCTACTGATGGGTAAAAAAAGGTCCGGTTTCTAAGGAATGCAGTGTTTCTTGCTTAACTGCAATGACTTTTGAAGTCACGAATATGGAGCATTTACAAAATTGATTTACGATAGTATAAAACCTGGCACGCTGTAAAAGCGTTTCCCATTAATAAATTAACTTTAAAATAAAATACTTACTCTGTTTGAATGCATGATAAACATTGAGAAGGGTAAGATGGTCACCATCGATGTGTGCGAATCGCATCTTGGCATCGTCGGCTGCTTTTTTTGCCTCGTTCGGTCGGACAAAACACTGCGGGACTAAATATTGGAGCGGGGCATTTGGCGCCCGTATCCGTTCAATATAGTGGCCACATACTCTCAACCTTCAATGCCTACAGAGCTATCTCAGTTTTAGCATATATTCAATTTTGAGCAATTACGGTAGGTAGAAAAATATATCGTTTTTAAGTCGGAGTACTTATTAAAACATGAATTTACGATTACGTATATTACGGACTACCTAGGTAACTATTATTTCAAGTAATATATAACAATAATTATTTACATTAACATTCTAAAGAGGTAAAATATGCTTGTTTGTTTATTTGTATGTATGTTCTCTGGACTACTGAATCGATTCAAAAAATTCTTCAACTGATAGAAACCTACGCAATCCCTGAATAACATAAAGTGGCTTTGTTCAAATTTAGAACAGAAGACTAATAAAAATGTAAACGTTTGTTAGATTTATTAATAACCATCAAATTCGAATTTTGTTTTTTTATAAAAACTTTGTGATACCATTTTTAATGACCCATAATTCGAGCTTAACGAACATTTAGAAAGTATACGAATATAACACACGGTACAGGTTTAAGTGAACATGGCCTACAAAGTAATCACAGCATAAATGGAAACGAATGTAAACTTCTACATTGCTAACAAAAAATATAAAACTGATGTTGCTTGAGCCTTTAGAAATAAAAAAGCGTTGCACTAAAAGTCAATAAGAAATAGGCGAGATAGGTTAGTAAGACACCTTCTCAGGCATGAAGGTCTAGTCAGAGACATATTAGAGACAGAAACGGAAGTTAAGAGGGGTAGAAATAGACCTAGATTCGATTACAGTTCGCAAATAGTTAAGAATATGGGTTGTTCTAGTTTTAGGGAAATGCGGATTAGCTCAGGATAGGAAAGAGTGAAGGTGCGTGTCCAACCATTCTTAGGACTGACGACCTTATAATGATGACTCAAAGTAGAAAATGGCGACTAACTCATCCTAGTTACCAATAAACTTTATCGTTACGAGCACGTGTTTCATCCACTTCTAAAGCATTATTGCAAGAAAAAAATATATAAAAGTGTATGTTTAAAGTACGGCTATATATGGGTAAGAAATGTCGATGTTGGCATGGAGAAAAAGAAGAATATAGATAAAAGAATTTGAAATGTGGTGTGAAGGGTGGGCAGTGAAAAAACCGTAAATAGAAAAGGTTAGAAGTGAGGAAGTATTGGAAAAAGTAAGAGAATGGATGGCGCTATGAAAGTCAATAAGGAAAAAGAGAGATAAGGTATTAGAACACCTGAAATATGAAGGGTTAGTTAGAGACATACTACAGGTAGAAACAAGATTAAAAAGCGGCTGGAGAAGATCCAAAAAACCTGCTAGAAGTTAATTGTATTTCCTGATGGTATAAATGGGTTTTAGAAATCACTTCCACTTTTAAATGATTCTTATAATTTTTCCCCATTTCTTAGAAATATACTTCAAAAACTACTACTAAAATCTTCCCAATGTACCTAATTTGAATTAAAAACTACCGCACTGCTCAAAATTGATATACATTTCCATCTAAATACTGTGACAGCTTAAAAAATGTTTTGACAAAACGGCAGAGAAACAACGATTTTACTTATAAACCTAATTAGGCCCTATCACAGTAGTTAAAACAAAGAAACTTTTTAATTTTTCACTTTAAAATTCCAATGAATTTTACATCCACCATTATTATTACCATTTAGGTACTTTAAATTCTTTTAGCTAACAATAATTTTTGTGTTTTGACAAGATGTGTTTCATATGCTAAGTTACAAAAAAATTAATAAATATAATCAGTTGTTTCTGTATACCGTTTCTACATATAACACGAAATATAAAATTATGTATAAAAGCAATTCTTGAAAATCAACCAAGTTGCTTTTATCAAAAAACAATATAGCATAGTCATTGATGGAATTTTGATAAGTGATCAAGCTTCGGTCGCACAAAAAAGAGAATAGTAACTGCATATGTCTGTTCTAATTAATAAAAATTGATACTACTATGTTCATAAATAAAATGAAGGAAATATTTTGTATACCTGACAACATTGCTGTTATTGACAAAATTTCATTAGAGCAATTATGGTTGCAGCTGGCAATAAGCATCTTGGCCAATTGCGGATCGAGCGGAAATTCGGCCATTACAGCTCCTAAGTCAGTTAAATTTCCGTCATCGTCAAGGGCAGCAAGATAATTAAGCAGTTCCAATGCTCGCATTAGGGTTTCTGGAGCAGGTGGATCCATAAAATCAAAGTGAACCAAATCATCGATACCCAACTTTTTTAACTGAAGAACAACTGAACCCAAGTTTGACCTACAACATAAAAAAATATACGCTAACGTGCTATAAGTTCGGAATGTAGAATTTTATTCTATTTCGAATGGTACTATGGTTCCCTATAGCCATCTTTTCTAGTTTTCAAATTACTTATTGTTCTTTGTGAAATCAGCTAAAATCGTTTAATTTTTTACATAAGATGCATTGATAATCGTAAAGTTCTCCGAGCAAACAATTTATTTTTGTATGAATTACTTTCTTCAATCAAAAATCTTTTTCTTAAAATTTTACATTGTCTTATTTCAAAATTGTCACAATAAATAATAAATGCAGTAATTATATATCATACCTTAATATTTCAGGATAAGTGTTATCTTGCATTTCGTTTTTATAGGCCTTTTCAGTGTACAACCTAAAGCATTTACCAGGTCTCGTCCTTCCAGCTCTTCCAGCTCGCTGTTGGGCAGAGGCTTTGCTGATTGGAGATACAAGTAATGATTCAACGCGTATTCGAGGGTTATACACCTAAAATATATTAACACGATTATGACGGATATTACTTACAGATTTTATTTATTTATTGAACAAAACAGGTTAAAGTGACCCTATTACATAGATATCATCATAAAGTTGTCAGTCCTAAGGCTGATTGGACACGCACCTCCACTTGTTCCTATCCTCAGCTAATTTTCGCATATACCAACCTTCCCCTACCAATCTATTTCGCCTATTTTTTATTGATTTTCATAGAGTGCTCTCTTCTCCTATTCTTTTTAATACCTCTTCATTTCTAACCTTCTCTATCAACGATATTCTTATCATTAGCCGACGCTCAACTTTTCTTTTCCGCCGCGCCTACTGTCCATGTTTCGGACCCCTAATGTGTTGCACTCCAAACATACACCTTTAGCAACCTTTTTCGAATTTCTAAATTAACCGTTCGCGAGCATAGAAGTGACATCTTTTTGTTGCGACTCTGCGCTATTCTCTGTTTTATATTTCTACTGTTCCTTCCATCCTGACTTACTTGACTTCCTAGATACCGAAAATCAGGCACCTCTTCTAATTATTTGTCTCCTATGTTTATATTCGCTCTTTTCCTACTTTTTCTTCTCTTACATACTAGTATTTTTGTTTTACATTTATTTATCTTCGTACAATACTGTTTTGTCAATACCGCTTCCATTTTATTTGAGGCTATCTCTAATTCCTCCTTGCTAGATGCTAATTCTGCTATATCATCTGCAAATCTCAGCATACTAATCATTTGCCCCGTATATCTATCCCTACAGTTATCCAATCTTTAATGATATTGATAGCGTCTTAGATGTATAGATTAAAAAGTAGCGGTGACAGTTTGCATTTTTGTCTGATTGTCTTCTTAATATTTACTTCTCTACATTGCTGCTGAAGCTCTATAACTACCTGTTGCTCTTTATAGAAACTATGTATCACTCTTCTATCTCTGTATCTCATCCCTACATTTTTAAATACATTTAACATAAATAAAACAGATGTAAATTGTACTAACATCATAAATTAGTAAATCCTCTTAAGAAAAAATAAAAATAATAACTGAAGCTGAGCAGCAGCAGGACAAGGTAAATTGCTAAATAGAATTAAGTTTAACTTAACGTTAGTACAAATTAAATTAATTATTACCTTCTGTTTAGCGAATCCAGGGTCAATTACGAATACCACTCCATCAATTGTAAGGGATGTTTCAGCAATATTTGTTGAAACAACAACTTTTCGTCCAATTGCACCATTTGCTTTGTTTGGAGGAGGTTCTTCAAAGATGCGCTGCTGTAGGTTAGGTGGTAGGGTTGAATATAGTGGGATGCACTTTAATTCACCCACTTCAGGTCCTTCAAAATAAAACAGACAAAGTGTAGTCTACTTCAAAAGCATTACAAAACTATAAAAAATAACCAATATCACGATTAATATTATTGAAACTGAAATCGACAATTTTTTTTTGCAAAATTTCTGCCGCATAATTCACTATTAGGTATTTTCAACCTAACCAGATTTAAACATCTCCTTCATTGTATTCTCACAATCTCCACGTTTGGTAATTTTGACTCTGACTGAACAGACATTAATGTTTATGAAGCCATTTCCATAATTTTCTAGCCATGGAAGATAGTTGTTTAATTTTATAATACATAAACTAACTTAAACAAAAGGTAATTTTATTTAAATGATAATCTTTTTTAATTGTAAAATCTAAGTGTTTTAATGTAGATAAACCTATAATGTGAATTTATAAGCAAAGGATGCTAAATACCTGTCACCACAGCTGACAAAACCCGATACATTATGAGACAAGGAGAAGAGTGTTTTTTATACATTGAACATTTCAAGTGTGTTCCTCTGACACATCAAATATTAC